GAATGGGGGGAATTTGGGGGGAATGGGGGAATTTGGGGGGAATGGGGGGAATTTGGGGGAATGGGGGGAATTTGGGGGGAATGGGGGAAATTTGGGGGGAATGGGGGGAATTTGGGGGGAATGGAGAGAATTTGGGGGGAATGGGGGGAATTTGGGGGGTTTGAGGAATGATGGGAATTTGGGGGGAATGGGGAGAGTTTGGGGGGAATGGGAGGGATTTGGGGGGAATGGGAGGAATTTGGGGGGAATGGAGAAAATTTGGGGGGAATGGGAGGAATTTGGGGGGTTGGGAATGGGGGGAATTTGGGGGGAATGGGGGGAGTTTGGGGGGTTTTGAGAATGGGGGGGATTTGTAGGGAATGGGGGGAATTTGGGGGGACTGGGAAGAATTTGGGGGAAATGGGGGGAATTTGGGGGGGTTGTGGGGAATGGGGGGAATCCGGGGGGAATGGGGGGAATTTGGGGGGTTCAGGGGTGATGGGGTCAGATTTTGAGGAGCTGAGGAGTGTGCAGGGGTCCTGACTCTGATTTGGGAGGGCTGAGGAGGGCGGGGGGGGGCTACAAGGGGTGCTGGGTGGGAGTTCTGGGAGGGCTGAGGGGTGCAGGAGTGCTGGGTGGAGGGGTACAGGGGTGCTGGCCATGGGGGTATAGGGAGTTTTGGGGGTCTGGGTGCCGGGCTGGGACACGGGGAGAAAGACCAGGAGAGGAGATCCCAGCCTGGAGTCCCGACTGGTCCATGTGCTGGGATGGCATCGCGCCCACTGGGGAACATACCCAGCACTGCTCTGCCACCCCTGACCCGTTCCTGGGGGCCCTTGAGCCCCCCCAAACCCGATGAATCAGCGGCTCATTGCGGAGCCTTCGAGCTCCGGGAGGAGGAGGATGAGGAGGAGGAGGAAGAACTCGCCGGGATGAATCATCCCGTGTTCCCGGGAGCTGGGGGGCGGCTGCCGGCACAGGCAGGAGCTGTGGGGGGGAGCTGGGCACTGAGGGGGGTGCGTGGGGCACCCATCCCCCATGGACACCGCCCTCGTGCTCTGCCAGGGCTGTGGGGGACAGCGGGGTGACCCCCGGCACAGCCCCCCTTCCCCTCCTGGTGCCACACTGGGGGCATTGCTGGGGGCAGCCCCAGGGGCTGCACGGGGCTCCCGGGGGAAAATTTGGGGCAGAAACCTCCCCCAGCACCCTCCCGGGGGTCAGAAATCCCGGCAGGAACCGGTTCCCAGTGCTGCACCCAGGCCTTGTGTGGCATCGTGATGGGGACAGCGCAGGGACACCCTGGGGGTGCCCACACACACATCCTGGCCGGGACCTCCCAGGGCAGCAGCTCCTCGGCTCATCCCGCTCCTCTCCCAGCCCCGTGTCTGTGCCAGATCCTCGCCACCATCGTGCCAACCCCCCTGTCACCATCCAGCCGTGGAGGAGCCCAAAATAGCCCCGGGCTCACCTGGAGGGGGGCGGGGGGGCCAGGGCTGCCGCCTGCCCTCATCCCACTGCTCCATATTAATGAGCTCCTTCCTCCTCCTCCTCCTCCTCCTCCCCCCGTCCCTCCCGGTGTCCGGCGGTGCCGAACCCGAGCTCAGCGACACGAGCCCACCCGCGCTCGGCTCCGGCCGCCCTCGCCATGGCCGGGGGTCCCTCGGTGTTCCAGCTCTGGCTCGTGCTCCAAACCTCCTGCCTCTGCCTGGCCCAGCTCGTAAGTCCCGTGCTCGATCCCGCTCCGCTCCGGGCTGGGATGGGGCTGGAGAAGGGATGGAGAGGGGCTGGATGGAGAGGGGACGGTCGCCGTCTCCCCCGTCGCAGCGCTGAGAGCCCCCGCGACTTTTGGCTTCTTTTCCCAGCACCTTTCCCTTGCTTTTCCCAGCAATGGGGGATTGGGAACAGACCCCAGCCGGGATCCACCGCCCCGACCCACCCGGGACCTCTCTGTGCCAAAAGCCCCGCGGGAAGAGGGGGCTTGGAAATCTGGGACTTCTTGGCTGAACAAGCTCAGTTTTATTTTCCCCCTCCACCCTTTCCCTCCCCAGCAGCCGCCGGATCTGCTCCCCATCACCTGGGAAAGTGTCCTTCTCCTTTCCTGGGATGTGCTGCGACTTCGGACTGAGGGGGGTCAGACCCTCCCAGGGCTGCCCCGGGTGGGGGGAACACCAGCAGTGGGGATCCTGGGGGTCCCGGTGGACTCTCCGAACTCACCCAGGGACAGGAAAAAACGGATTGGGAAGAAGGGAAGGTGTCCCCCCGCTCCTCGGGGTGAGCAGTGCAGAGGAAGAGGCAGAGTTCCCCCTGGGAGCCCACCTGGGAGAACTCTTCCTGCCTCGCAGGGATGGGGGGTAAAATCTGGTTAAACCCCAAGATTTTTAGAAAAGATTTTGGAAAATCTTTCCACGCGGCTCCTGTCGGCACAGTTTGGGGGGCAGCTCCCTCCTAGAACAGCCCCCCGGGATGCCCGTGGGCTCGTGGTGCCAGGGGCTGGCCAGGGGAGCGGGCTCGGGGCTGTGGGAGCTGCGGGAACAAGGAACCATTTGGAAATCACTCGGGCAGGACAAAGGTGCCTTTCAGGGGCTCTCGCAGGGATCGGGACTCGCTCCCTCCCCGACCACAGGGTTTGATCCAGGGCTCTCCTGTTCCGTGCACAAACCAGCAGCTCCCCTCACCCCTATATATTCATATTTATTATTTAAAATAACCCACCCTGGGGGGCCGCGGAGGAGCCGCAGGAGCTGCAGCCCAGCCACGTCTGGTTCCCATTTCCAGGAACGCCGCGGGTTCCGTCTCCAGGACTGGGATCTCTTCCCCCCCAGACTCCCCGTTAGGATAACAGAGGTTTCTTTGCAGAGTCCTCTGCAAACCTGCGGGCCGGGGCCGGGCCCCGGGAGCTCTCCCGCCGCTCCTCAATGGAGCTTTTGTGCAGAGCCGGGAGCGGGGCTGCGGGACACGGGCACCGAGCCAGCCCGGGGCAGGGGGACAGCTCCCGCCGAGGGCCGGGGGTCCCCAACTCACCCCGGGGCTGCCGGCCCCCGAATCCTGCCAGTGCTCCCAGAAATCCCGCTCTGAGCCAAGGGGGGGCCTTGGCAAGTGGTGTTAACACCCCGTGGAGACCACGCTCCGTCTGGGCAGGAGCCCTTGAGGGTGCCAGGGAAGGAGGGGGCAGAAGTGGGGTAGAAATGCTGCCATCACCCCATGGAGATCCCACCCCATTGGGGCAGGAGCCCCTGAGGGTGCCAGGGAAGGAGGGGGCAGAAGTGGGGTAGAAATGCTGCCATCACCTCACGGAGATCCCACCCCATTGGGGCAGGAGTCCCATGGAACCAGGGCAGGAGGGGGAAGAAAAGGGGTAGGAAACGAGCAGGGGATGAGGAGCTGGAAGTGCCAGGGAAGGAGGGGGCAGAAATGGAGTAGAAATGCTGCCATCACCTCATGGACATCCTGCTCTGTTGGGGCAGGAGTCCCATGGAACCAGGGCAGGAGGGGGAAGAAAAGGGGTAGGAACTGAGCAGGGCACGGGGAGCTGGTGGTGCCAGTGTGGGGGAGATGTCCTGGATTTCCCCATCCACGCCCTGGCCGGGGGGCACAGCGAGGATCCCGCAGAGCTGGGCCAGCCTGGGGGTCTCCCTCCATCCCGGTGGGTCCCCAGCACACACCAGCGGCTCCCACTGTCCCCCAGCATATCCCGGGGTGCCTCTGCTCCTTCCTGACGTGGATCCCATCCCTCTTCCCCCCTAGAGAGGGCCACCGGGCCAGCCCGGCCCGAGAGGGCCCCCCGGTCCCCCAGGAGTGCCGGGAGCGGACGGGATTGACGTGAGTAACCGGGAACCTGAGGGAGGCAGGGAGGGAGGGAGGGAGGGGAGCCGCGGCACAAAGAGGGACATTGTGTGGGGCGGAGGCTCGGCCAGGGCAGGGGATGCCGGTGCCGTGGGATTCCTGCTCCGTGTGAGTCCCGCTGCTCCTGGGCTGCGGCACACGGAGCATCCCCGGCTTCTCCTGCAGCCCCGGGCAGCAAAGGTGGCACAGGGAGCACAGCTCCTGCACTGAGGGCTCCGTCTCCAGCCACAGCTGCCCCCGGCCTCCCGAGCACCTTGGAAATTGGGGGCTGAAGTGGTTTTTGAGGAGGTTTGGGTGCTCCCCTGTCCGGGCAGCAGAGGATGCTCGGGGAGGGGGTGGCTGCAGGGTCAGCCCAGAGGTGCCCAGTGAGGGGGGGAGCCAGGGGGGGCTGCTGGGGAGCAGGACACCCCAGTGGGGTGCCCTCAGAGTGGTGATGTGGCCGAGGGCTGTGCTGGGGGGGCTGTGGCTCCAGATCCTCCCCCAGGCTGTGGAGTGGGGGCCCGAACAGAGGGGAGATCTGTGAGCCAGCAGAATGTGCCCTTTCTCTGGGATGTACCCCCAAGTGTTATTTTAGTGCTATTTATACCCAGAACAGCCACAACCTCCCCCCCCAACCCCAGCACAACCCTCCCAAAACCCCAACACAAGCCACTCTTCCCAACCCCAGCCCCATCCCAATTCCCCACCTGGCTGTGGAATCCAGCATCCCAGCTGGATTGAGCCCCCCTCTGGCTTGAGGAGGGGGACAACGACGCTGAGCCCCCCACCCTGGGGGGTGATAGGTCCCTTTTACAACCTCCTTCCTCTCCCCAGGGTGACAAAGGCCCTGCTGGAGCCCCGGGCTCCCCGGTGAGTACCTGCCCTCCCCCCAGCTCCCCGCTGCTCCCCCTCCTCCCAGAGAAGCTCCTTCCATCCTGCCCCTTCCTCTTCTCTCTTCAAGGGTGTCAAGGGGGACCCCGGAGCCCCCGGCCCCGATGGACCCCCAGGGAAGCCGGGCATCGACGTGAGTACCCCCCTCCTGCCCCCCCTGTGGGGTCCCTGCCCGCAGCAAACTCTTCTTACTGTGTCTGTCCCACATCAGAACGGGCCAAAATCTTTGGAATCACAGCAGAGCCCAGGCAGGGCTGGTGCCACCCCTTCCCACTGCCTGGGCACCCAAAAGCACGTCCCCCTGCACTCCAGGCAGGGCAGAGCTGTGCCAGGGTAGCAAGGACATGGAAAGGGTACTTGGGCATGGAAAGGCTTTTCCTTGTCCCTTGCTGCTGCTGCTGCCCTGTGCCCTCACTGAGCTCTTGTTTCCTCCAGAACAAACCTGGAGCAATCCCATGTCCCCTCCCCGGCACCCATGAGGTGGCATCGGTGACTCCACCACTGTCCCCTCCCTGGCACAAGCAGAGTCACCACAGAAGTGGTGGCAGAAAGGGGACAGAGCTGTCACCTCCCCCTGCCTGGCTGCTGTGATGGGTCAGTCCCATCACCAGGTCCCCTGGGTTGGGTCTCAGGGGTGTGTGATGGGTGCCCAGGGAGGGTTGGGTGGGCTCCTGCCTCATGCCCAGGTCAGTGCCAGGGACTTACCTGCTGATCAGAGGGAAACCCGAACTGCAGGCTCCTCTTCTGTGCCTCTGATGGCCCTTCATGAATCTTTGGGAGTTTAGTTATTCTTCAATAATAAATGAATAGAGAGAAATAACTGTCACTGTGAGCATGGATTATTCATCCAGCTGGATCTGCCTGCAAAGGGATTTGGCTCCTTCCATGGGAACAACCCCAGGGGCTGGGAATAACCTCCAGGGTCTCTCCTCTTGCAGGGCCTGACAGGAGCGAAAGGGGAGCCAGGACCCATTGGAGCACCAGGAATTAAAGTGAGTGAGGGGCTGCTCTGGGGCAGCTTCTCCAGGCTCCCACTTTCCTTGGCTCCCACCTTCCCCTCTCGGAGCCAGCAGGGACCAGGAACTGGTGATGGAGGTTCTGGCAGTGAGGGGGCACCAGGGCTGGGTGAGGGAGGGGGGATTTTAGCAGCTGCCAGAGCAGACCCACCTGTTTCTGCTCCTGACTCTCCTCCTCTGCCTTGGCAGGGCCAGCCTGGACTTCCAGGGCCTCCAGGGCTCCCTGTGAGTATCTGCTGCTCCCAGGGGTGCAGGGGATGCACCCACTGCTGTCACACGTGGGGTGGGGGCAGAGCAGGACCATCCCCAGCCCCCCCAGCTGCCCCCTGGGTGGTGCTGTGGGCATCACCCTGCTGGGGACACGGATCCTGCAGGGTCTGGGGGGTTGGGGAATTCAGACCAACCCTCTTTCTCCCTCTTGCAGGGCCCCTCTCTGCCAGGACCACCCGTGAGTGCCACACTGGGGGGTTGGGGGGATGCCCAGGGATCCTGCCTGGAGTTGTGCTGGGGGAGCTCCAATCCCAGCACACCCAAAGGGAGGCCTGGGGGTGTGACCTCTCTCACTCAGGGGATGTTTGTCTTCTCCTTAAGGGGCTTCCAGGCCAAGTGGGGCTTCCTGGAGAGATCGGGGTGCTGGGACCCAAGGTGAGGAGTCAGGAGGGGACATGGGAAAACCTCCCCTCCCTACCCCAGGATCTGCCCCTCTGTCCCAGGGCTCCTGGGACAAACAGGGATGATCCTGGAATGTGGGAGGGTGGGACAGTGGGGCTGGAGGGGTGGCAGTTCTGTGCCACCAGCCGGGTCCCCTGGTGCCATCCGCCCTGGGGATGTCCCCATTCCTGCTGTGACATCCTGGCTCTCCAGCTCCATCACCCCTCTCCACCCCAGCTCTGGCAGCACCTGCCACCTCCCCACCCTGACATCTCCTTTCCTGGGTCTGTTCTTTCCCAGGGTGACCCTGGACCCGATGGCCCCCGGGGCCCCCCAGGCCCTCCAGGGAAACCCGTGAGTACCCCCTGGCCACCAACACCTTCTGCACGAGGGAGAAGCTCCCCCCAGGCTCAGCTCTGGCTCTGGGGCCAGGACCTGGGCTCTGCCACACCCCTCCCTCCTGGGAAATCATACTGATACCAACCCAGGGATGCTGATGGTCTCCTTCCCTCCAGGGCCTCCCGGGACACATCCAAGGACTGGAGGAAGGCAGTGCTGATATCCTGGTGAGAGCTGCCACGGCATCGTCCCTCCAGCAGGGCTCTGGCTGCCTGGAATACAGCCCCTCCCTGGAATTCTGTCCCTGGGGAGGAGCAGGGTCCCCAGCACAGCTGGGGTGTGAGCAGGGGGTCCCCTGTGTCACTGCTCCCACGTGGCACAGGAACCCGTCCTTCCCAGCACGGCTTCTCCACAGCCTCCAGGTCCTTCCCCAACTCATCCTGTGCTTCTTCCCCCCAGTGCCCGACCAGCTGCCCCCCAGGTCCCAAGGGCCCCCAGGGACTGCAGGGACTGAAGGTAAGGGAGCCCTGGAGCTGCTGGGGTGGAACAGGGACCGTCACCTCCAGCAGGTTGTGGCAGAGTGGAGGATCCATCCTCGCTCTGGAGCCACAGGGAGCTCAGGAGCTGCCCTGCTCCCCTGGGAGCACCAGGACACACGTTCACAGAGAGCCCTGGAGCCACAGGGAGCTCAGGAACTGCCCTGCTCCCCTGGGAGCACCTGGACACACGTGCACAGAGAGCCCTGGAGCCACAGGTGCCGTGGGAGAGGCCTCGAGTGGCTTCCCAGCTCCCACCAACCCTTTCCTGGGTGTGGGACCCTGTACCAAAGCCCCAGTCCCAGCCCTGCCACTGCCTCAGGAAGCTCCAGTGGGCACCCCAGGGTGGGCTGAGGTGGGCAGGGGGGCTCTCAGGACGCTGCCACAGCCCTGCTGCTCTGCCAGGGGCACTCAGGATCTTCTTCTTCCCCCACAGGGACACAGAGGCCGCCCCGGTGCCCTCGGGGAGCCCGGCAGGCAGGGGGGGCAGGTGAGTTCCCAGCACATCCAGGTGTCCCTGGGGCCTCTGGAGGAGCAGGGGATGGACCCAGGGGGAGAAAGGGGGGAAAAAAGGAAGAAAAGAGGTGAGAGAGGAAGGTGGGAAATCCAGGGCTGGCAGAGGGAGGGGTACAGGGTGGTCTTCCCAAGGTGGCTTCCTGGGCAGGGACACCTTCCCCATCCCCTGCTGGGTCCCAAGGGAGGGGGTTTTGTGTCCCCAGGGCAGTTTGTACCCCCACTCCCCCCCAACACTCAGTTCTCTCCCTGCCCAGGGCCCCAAGGGTGACGTCGGTGCCTCTGGAGAACAAGGAGTCCCCGGCCCGCCGGTAACACACTCCCCCCTCTCTGCTCCTGCACCCCTCCAGGGCCCCAAAAACTGGGGGTGCCCAGTTTGTGCTCGGCCCCAGACACCGGGGAGGTGACACCAGTGTGTCCCACACAGCCCTGGGGCTGCAGCAAAGCCTTCATCCCACCCATCTCCCTCCTCCTCCCAGGGTGTCACCATCTCTCCCAACAGAGACCTCAGCTGTTTCCATGGATAACTCCTGGGCCAGGACAAAGCTCTCCTGTGCCTCTCACCCCCCTCACCCCACCTGAAGGGGGGGTGCAGCCCCCAGCTCACAGCAGGGCCGGAGGGGGGGATTAAAGCTGCAGGAGCTCCCTGAGCACTTTGAAGATGAAAAGCAATTAATGGGCTGAGCCCTGGCTCCAGGGAAGGGCAGAACTGCTTTGAAGCAGAGCTTTGGCAGGGCAAGAGACTCCACTTTGGGCCCGTTGGTGTGATGGAATCGACAGCTGGAAAAGCACCTGCTGGGGGGCTGCAGGATTAGGAGGGGCTGGAACCCCTCGTGTTTGGCCAAATGGGCTGATTCCCAACCCCGGGGTTTGCTGGAATTGCAGCTTCCCCCTGGGCTGCTCCAGGGGGGCTTTCCAGCTAAACTAGAACTGTGCTTCCCTTCCCCACAGGGACCTCAGGGCCCCAGGGGGTACCCCGGGATGGCAGGACCCAAGGGTGAGACGGTGAGTGCTGCTGGGGGGGCTCGGGGGGGACCAGATCCCACGGCAGCCATTCCCAGGCTGAAAGTGTCACCAGCACGTTGGGCTGCCTTGGGGAGCTGGACCTGCCTCCTGCTGGGTGGGACTGGGGGTCGGGGTGCCAGGTATTGACCCCCCTGTGCTCTCTTTGCAGGGCCCTGCTGGGTACAAGGGCATGGTGGGGTCCGTGGGAGCAGCCGGGCGGCCGGTGAGTGCCCCCCCATCCACCCCCAGGGGCTCAGGGACCCCCCAGTTCCCTGCTCAGCCCTTGCCTTTCTTCCCTGCAGGGCAGGGAAGGCCCCAAGGGACCACCTGGGGACCCTGGTGAGAAGGGAGAGCTGGTAGGTGACCCCCCAGTGCTCCCCATGCCCCACACGGAGAGGGGCTCTTCCCAGGGTGCCCTCATCGGGCATCTCCTCCCTCTGCCAGCCCCACCCTCTGCCCCAGAGGCACACTGACCTCACACTTGCCCTCTCCTGCTCCAGGGTGGCCGTGGCATCAGAGGACCCCAGGGAGACATTGGCCCCAAGGGGGAGAATGTGAGTACAGCTGGTGGCACCTGTGCCAGGGCTGGGAACGAGCCTCTTCTGGCAAGGAGAAGATCCCTCTGTGTCCCACGCTGTGTCCTTGCACCTTGGCAGGGCTGAAGCCTTCCCTTCCCTTCCCTTCCCTTCCCTTCCCTTCCCTTCCCTTCCC